TCATGCATGTACATGGGGACTGTGGATCCTTTGGAGGCAGTGGTGTCCTGGGCCACCGGTTATGACTTCCAGGGCCTGGAAGGAGGTAATGTTTCTTCGGTGTGAACCAGCAATGGTGGCTTGAACAGCTTAGCCCATGGAGTCATATTGCAGTGCTGACCTGAAAGAGGAGGATGTTCTTAACCTTTATGAAGTTTCAGTCTGCCCCACTGTTGAAGTAGAGCATGCAATGGCATATACCTAGTGCCTGGTATGTAGACTGATGGTGATAGTGTTTTAAGGCTGATTTACTGCCCTTCTTTTACTATTTTCTAGGAAATATTGTTTAATCTCTAAAATTAATTGAAGGACTTGAATGCGTGCACATAAGCAAAACCAACAGACGCAAGACACTGGGGGCGAGGGGACGAGGGCAAGAGCGGGGGGGGTGGGGCGCATAGAGGAGGCCGGGGGGGAGGTCAGTGGGGGAAAAAAGAGACATATGTACTACTATTTGTAATACCTTAAACAATAAAATTTAAAAAAAGAAAAAGTGCTACCAACTAAACTGTAATACACCATCTATCATAAAATGCATCCCAATTTTAGAGGCAAATGTATGTCTTAGAATTAACTGAATTAATAAAATACAGCATGTCAAACCAAATAAAAAATAAAATTAAAGCATTTTGAAAAATTATACCTCAGTCCCCTTATGAAGATATGATTATCAGTGCTCTTCAAACCCTTTGCGGGTCGAGCCTCCAGGGGATGGTCCACAGTGGAGAATCAGCGAGGGCTCTTGATAAAGGAAGCTACAGTGAGACCCCAGGTGCCCTGTGCAGGGAAGGTGCACTCCCTTTGAGAAAATGGTATGCACAACCTGACACCCAGTGAGTGAGCAGAACACAGCGAAGAGGGGCTGAGTAAACAGGCTACTTTCAGACCCTTCCATGTGCCAGTTTACTTATTGATTTTACTCTGATCAGAAGTTCCATCCAAAAATAAGCATGTCAACAGGACAGGAGATACACACAAATCATGTATCTTTTTTCCTTTTTGTGATTGAAGAGCCCCTGTTCATATCTGTGAAGGAAAATGTCATCTGCAAGCCTGTTCCCACACCCTCTCCCTCCCCCCACCACACACACACTCAGTCCCAACTATGGCCTCAGCTATTAAATAGGGTCTGCACCTGTCATCTGGGTAGGGCGTGGATTTAGGCTGAATTTTGATTGAAGGAAGAGGTCTTTTAGGCTGATAGGCAATAAAATCCCATGGCTTCATTGTCATTTTCCCTCTTCATAAGCTTATTTCCAGATTTTCTTGCTTGTTTGTTGGAGCAGGAGACATGCTCTATCAAATGCCAAGCATTACTATGATATATCCACATATGTCACTAGAGTTCTATATTACACAGAGAACGATATACATCACAGGTCTATCCACATGTTCACAGCCTGGACTGTCAGCAAGCATGGTGTAATGATGGTCATTAAAAGAGCCCATGGGATATGACAGTGGCCAGAAGAAATGCTAAGGAATCCATGTGAGAGGACTGCAATCCTCACTCTTACCATATGCTATTTAAGGAGATGGGTTCTTAAGTTTTAGGTAACTGGAAGGACTAAAGATATCTTTGCTTTTAAGACCTGCGTCTCGGAAAGATGAGTCTATTGTGAAGGTGAGTGATGGGTTGTATAGGAAAAGGATTGCCTACAGAAATATGTTGGGCTCCAAAGGTTCCGAATGGCTCTACTAGTCCAGGACAGCAGTGGTGAGGATCTAGACAGCTGTGGCCAGGACACAGTCACTGAAGAAATGTGGTGAATGAGTAATAGGAGGACATCATTAGAGATCACCTGAATAGTTGGAGTCAGGGTAACTGATGTAGAGGCAGCCAGAAATTAAAGGAAGGGGCTGGAAGTTGGAGGAACAGCTGACAGGTTAAATGTGGATGGCCTCCGGTAACAATGTTAAAAGGAGAGCTGGACGTCAGTGAGGAATTTTCAGCTGGAGACACAGCTCTGGAAGTATTCTGCTAAGGGCTATTGTGGCTGACTTTGGAATTAATGTGTTCACCCAGAATAGCAAGGTCACACCTTGAGGAACATCTCTATTTGGGGAGTAAGAAGACAGAAGTTCAAGGGAATGTGGAGGTTGTATCTGAAGCCCAGCTCCATGTGGAAAGGACTGGATGCAGAGCTCGAATGGTCAGGCCAGGATGGTATGCAGGCTTGCTGTGTGTGTATGTGTGTGTGTGTGTGTGTGTGTGTGTGTGTGTACCCACGCATGCCTGGTACACTGAACTGGAAATTACTACTCATTTGCTTTGCCCCTTTCCGTCTGGTGACATGCTCCTTTTTCAGGCATTCTCTTCTCTCTTAGTCATTTGCGCTAATGCTATTCACCAACTGCTTTTTTCGTTACTGTTCTTTGTGGGTTTTTAAAATTTATCTTTATTGTAGAGGGTATTACAAATGCCCCCCCTTATTTCCCTCATTGTCCCCTCCACCCAGCTCCTGCCCCACCCCAAGACTTCACCTCACTATTGTCTGTGTTCCTGAGCTATGCATATATGCATATAAATTATCTGGTTAATCTCTTCCAGCCCACCCATCCCCCCTCCCCGCAACTGATTTTTAAAAAGCAAACTGCTGGAGAGAATAATGGTTAAGAGCCAGACCTTAGCTTTCAGTCTTGGCTTTGATGCTTGCTGCTGTGTAAATAATCTAAGGTAGACCAGCTATCCTCCCCACACCACTCTGATCATCAGTAAAACTGGGGTAAAAACTTTTACTTTACTGAGTCATCAAAGCACTAAGTCAGATATCATAGGAAGTTGTTATCACGGCACCAGGCTTATCGTAATCACTTTATAATTTATATTTATTAAATGTAGCATATCTACCCCTCCATATTTCTTAGCTCCTGCATACTTTTTATCTTCCTTCACTATCCCTGTAACTTTCTTTCTTGTTCAATTTAGACTCTAAGAAAAAATCTTGGAATCAGACATTTAAGAAAGAGAAATGGCATAATTATTTTTTTATCTTAAAAAGTGGGCTAGTCTGATTTTGCCCTGACCAGCTCACTGCATCAAAAACAGGGTCCTGAGTTCCCATTAGAGATAAAAGAATAAGATTCTCTAAGATTTACCCTAGAAGTTTTTTTAATTGAATAGTGAGAAGAAGTACAATAATTAGGTTTTAAACAAAAATATTGAGGACATTATAGCAAATAGCATGTCGGGTTTTTTTGTTTTTTTATTTATTTATTTATTTATTTATTTATTTATTTATTTATTTATTTATTTTGTTTTATTGCTTAAAGTATTACAAAGGGTATTACATATGTGTTCTATTTTTTCCCCCGCCCTTGACAATCCCCTGGCCTCCCCTCCCCCCCCCCGTGTCTTATGTCCATTGGTTATGCTCATATGCATGCATACAAGTCCTTCAGTTGATCTCTTATCCCCCTCCCTCCTTCCCCCCAACCCTCCTCGGCCTTTCCGCTGCAGTTTGGCAATCTGTTTGAGGCAGCTCTGCCTCTGTATCTATTATTGTTCATAAGTTTATAATGGTCTTTATTATCCATGAATGAGTGAGATTATGTGGTATTTTTCCTTCATTGACTGGTTTATTTCACTTAGCATAATGCTCTCCAGTTTCATCCATGCCGTTGCAAATGGTAAGAGTTCCTTCTTTTTTACAGCAGCATAGTATTCCATTGACAAATAGCATGTAGTTTTGAAGCAACAAAGAAAGAAAGGCAATTTGCACTTATTTACCCCTTTAAGCCCCAGAGTTTTAGTTATTTTCAAATAGTACTGGAGTTCTTCAGAATATAGAACTTGGAAGGGTATTTATTACAGCATCCAACCTGAGCAGATCTCCATGAATTTCATATTTTATGCATAAAGCACCAAATAAGAAACTAAAAATGAATCCTTCACAAATGACTTGCAGACAGGATTTAATTTATTTTTAATTCTACATGAAATATATCATCCCCATCATGAACTTGAGGCTGTATAATCCTGGGGAGAGTGTAGAAGGCTGGAGGCTGAAATCAAATTGCTGTATTTTCCAACTCTGAGAGGAAACAGCTGTTTGGCAAAGAAGTTGTATAGGGAATTCAAATGTCCAAACTGCCTGATAAATGTTAGCATTGGAGACAATCTGATCCTTCAGTAGCCAACACCAGGGGCTCTGTTCCTTACTGGACCAAAATCTTTCTCCCTGTGTTCAAATCCTATCATCTGGGATCACATTAGGTGCCATGATCCAGTGAGGGGTGGTAATGACTTATCTTTTCCACCTCAGGGACTCAGGATGTTGGATTGTGCTCTCTTTGCTGCCATGGCAAGAGTCTGTGCTGCCTGTGTGTGAACAGCCATGGTGGGAAATACCAGCATGGTGCAGAGGGCAGGGAGCCAGATGTAAGCCTTAGGAGATGAGTAGGGTATATTCATAGTAATAACCCCCCAACTGCTTACAAAGTATTTATGCTTGCTTTTTGCCACCTCTCAACGCCCTTCCATCTATGCCTCTAAAATGCAAAACAGGAAATCCTAAGAAAGTGGTAAATTTCTTGTCAATGAGTTTGTAGAGACCAGACAAACATTCTAATGGTGTTGGGAGCTCTGGCTAACATTGAATAAATTGGAAGAAAATTGTCCATATGCTATGCTTTCACCAAGGTAATGTCCCTTTATCATCCCAAAGACTCTATAGTTGAAGCAGGTATTCTCTCCCCTTGTTGCAGATGTAGAAAGTGAAGTTCAGAAAGATTAAATGGCATAGTCAATATCACAGAGCAGGAGGGAGAACAAGATACATATGCAGCTGATCTGCCTCCTGGTTCTGACTCCCCACATCTCAGTGGCTCTACAGAGGTAAAACAGAGTAGAACCTGTGTAGGGAAGCACAGCACAGATTGAGGAAGACAACTCCTTTTCTCAGGTTTTACTCATTCTGACTTTCTTGATTCATCTGACAGGCACCAGAAAATGTCTCAGCATGAGAACTGACAACCAGAGCTTCTTGGGAGATCCTCCCAGGGACTTCATCCTTCTGGGTATTTCTGGCAGGCCATGGCTGGAACTCCCTCTCTTTGTGGTCCTCCTGGTGTCCTATGTTCTTGCCATGTTGGGAAATATTGCCATCATCTTGGTGTCCCGGCTGGATCCCCAGCTCCACAGCCCCATGTACATCTTCCTCAGTCACCTCTCCTTCCTGGACCTCTGCTATACCACCACCACGGTCCCTCAGATGCTGGTAAACATGGGCAGCTCCAGGAAGACCATCAGCTACAGTGGCTGCACAGTGCAGTACGCGGTTTTCCACTGGTTGGGATGTACTGAATGCATTGTTTTGGCTGCCATGGCCCTGGACCGCTATGTGGCCATCTGTGAGCCCCTGCGGTATGCCCTTATTATGCACCGCCCTCTCTGTCAGCAGCTCATGGCTGTGGCCTGGCTAAGTGGCTTTGGCAACTCTCTAGTTCAAGTAGTCTTGACAGTGCAATTGCCTTTCTGTGGGCGTCAAGTGCTAAACAACTTCTTCTGTGAGGTGCCGGCTATGATCAAGCTGTCATGTGCTGACACAGCTGTGAATGATGCCACACTGGCTGTGCTGGTGGCCTTCTTTGTGCTGGTCCCCCTAGCTCTCATCCTTTTGTCCTACAGCTTCATTGTCCGCGCAGTGCTCAGGATCCAGTCCTCAAAGGGACGTCACAAGGCCTTTGGAACCTGTTCCTCCCACCTGGTGGTGGTCTCCCTCTTCTACCTTCCTGCCATTTATATGTACCTACAGCCCCCTTCCAACTACTCCCAAGAACAAGGCAAGTTTATCTCCCTCTTCTATTCCATAATCACTCCCACCCTCAATCCCTTCATCTACACCCTGAGGAATAAGGATGTGAAGGCAGCTCTGAGAAAACTCCTGGCAAGAATGTGGAGGCTCTACAGAAGATGAAGACCTGAGATGTGGCACTCTCCATTGGTTACAGAACACTGGGCAGGTATATTGTGTGCTCAGAGAAGCTTTCACTTGAGGAGCCAATAATCAACCATTGTACATTTTTTTAGAGATTTCAGGATTTCCCCCAAATACTCTGTCCAAAATATCTCATCTCCTGTTTGGTCACAATGCCTAAGATTTCACTTATCCCAACAGTCTTTAATTCTAAGAACCATACATTTTTAGGAATTGTTTAAAGAGAACTGGCATTCAATAAGTATTTACCAAATTATGTAATTCCTAAATTCCTGAATCTTTCCACTTCTAATCTTCCTATTTTCTATTTTTCCCCATTTGTCTCTTTTCAATCTTCTCTCTGTCCCATTACCCCTAAGTATACACAATATGAAACTGAAACATAATTTCATATTACTTATAATAAAGTTATGTTCTTTTCTATATATTTTCCATACATTTTATATGAATTTTTAAAAAATAACAAAAATGGGCTGTCTTCTTCCCATGAACTAAGACGATGTTTTGTGGGTGTGTTTTTTTTTCTGTAGTTCAAATTTTGTTCTATCGAAGTGTCCCCATCCTGACTGGGAGCTAAGATAAGCATATTTATCATGGATGTATAAGACTCTGTTAGATTTTCTGGGTACAAATCAATAGCATATTCTATTATTTAAAACAAAAAATTCATTCTAGTTGAGAACACAAAATATAAATGTGGTCAGACTTCAGAACAATACAACTTTAAATAACAAGCTCAAGGTCATTGTAATAGCTAATATTTGTAGAAGGCTTCCAAGATACAGGCACTAGATTAAGTGTATTTTTAAAATTTATCTTTATTGTTGAAAGTATTTCAGACATCCTCCCCCTTTTTTTTGCCATGACCTCCTCCACTCCGCCCCCATCCCCGCCCCCAGGCTTTCACTAAACTATTGTCTATGTCTATAGGCTATGCATATATGCCTATAAATTCCCCAGTTAATCTTTTCCCCTTGACCCACCTTCCCTCTGAGATTTGTCAGTCTGTTCCATGCTTCTATGTCTCTGGATCTATTTTGTTCAACAATTTATTTTGCTCATTATATTCCACATATGAGTGAGATCATGTGATACTTGTCTTTCTCTGACTGGCTTATTTTGCTTAGCATGATACTCTCCAGTTCTCTCTACTGTTTCAAAGGTAAGAGATCCTTCTATTTTGCAGCTGCATAGTATCCCATGGTGTAAATGTACCACAGCTTTTTGATCCACTCATCTACTGATGGGCACTTGGGCTGTTTCCAGATCTTAGTTATTGTAAATTGTGCTACTATGAACATAAGGGTGCATATATTCTTTCTTATCAGTGTTTCAGGTTTCTTAGACTATATTTCTAGAAGTGGGATCACTGGATCAATTGACAGTTTCATATTTAATTTTTTGAAGAAACTCCAAACCTTTTTTCATAGTGGCTGCACCAGTCTGCATTCTCATCAGCAGTGCACCAGGGTTCCCTTTTCTCCACACTTGTCATTTATTGATTTATTGATGGTGGCCATTCTGACGATTGTGAGGTTGTTTTAATCTGATGATTAGTAAAGACAGTCTCTTCAACAAATGGTGCTTGGGAAATTGGACAGATACATGCAAAAAAAATGAAACTAGACCATCAACTTCACTATACATAAGAATAAACTCAAAGTGGATAAAAGACTTAAATGTACATCATAAAATCATAAAAATCCTAGGCAGCAAAATCTCAGACATCTCTCATAGCAATATGTTTGCTGATACATCTCCTAGGGCAAGGGAAACTAAGGAGAAAATAAACAAATGGGACTACATCAAAATAAAAAGTTTCTGCACAACAAAAGAAATCATCAACAAAATGAAAAAGTAGTCCACTATATGGGAGAACATATTTGCCAATGTTACATCTGATAAGGGGTTAATTTCCAAAATATATAAGGAACTCATACAACTTAACAAAAGGAAGACAAACAATCCAATAAAAAAAAAGTGGGCAAAGGACCAAAATAGACACTTCTCCAAAGTGGACAGACAGATGGCCAAGAGTCATATTAAGTGTATTTTTGTACACCATCTTGTTTAAAGTTCAAGGAACCTCGTGATGTAATCACTTTTATGATACTTCATTGTCATATAAGAATTTGGTTATTAGAGATATTGCAGTAACTTAGTAAAGGCCCCTCTAGTGACTGAGAGAACTGAGGCCAGCACTAAAATTTGTATGGCTACCTCCTTCAGTAAAACAAAGCCATGAAACTAGGACCTTATACTTACATTTTTTCACATTTTAGATTTATTTGTTTTTTATCTCTCTGTCATACATGTCAAATATTAAGCAAGCATAGAAAATATAAAATATAATTATTATAATAAATATATGACAATTAGGACAAAAGAGGAAATTGAAGATGTTTTACTGACAGTAAAAGCAAAAGGGAAATATAAATCACAAATTTGCAGGCTTTGACTTGAAAAACATGACAGAACCATGACTGTTCCTGGTACCAAAACCATAAAATGTTTTCCCCTTAGGCTGCCATTGAGCAGCCACTGTGTAATGGCTAAAAGCCTTTCAGAACTACTTCAGTGAACATACAAAATTATGTATATGAGCTTTTCTTCTAACTTTTCCTAACCCAGTTCAATGAAAGCAATGTGACATTGATCCAAAGATAATCAGTCCGTACATATAGCTGTGTAATGATCTGCCTAATTCTAGTGCTCATTTGAAAGTAGTGAGGACTATGTTTCTCAGAATAGATGTGCCAGATTAGAGGTGACCTCAAAATCTCTTCTACTCCTTGCAGTGAGAGGGGGAGACCATTAGAATGAAGTAAAAATGATATTATAAATCTTCCAGGGTTACACCATAAGAAATGTGGCAGCTTCCAACTAGTAAAACTTCTGGGCCCCTCAGTCACCACGGGATAAGTCTAACTACCCTGAAACAGCCATGCTAGGGAGACTGCAGATGGGTACTGTTGCCCACAGTCTAACCGACAGATATGACCCTCCTAATCAGCCTGACCATCAGTTAAATACCACCCAGTTACCTCAGTCAAAGATCAGAAGAATCTCTGAGATGAACTCTGCCCAAATTCCTAACCCACAGAATGATTAAATGTAACAAAATGGTTGATATTCTAAGCCTGCTAAATTTGGGGGTGATTTGGCAGGCAACGATAGGTAGCTCAGACACCAGTAACCCCTAGAATAATAGATAGCAGAGTTACGTAACACCACAAGATATACATGGTGTATTTTCCAGAAGTATCAGTTATTTAATGTTGTAAGGAAAAATATTTAAATAACTCAACTGATAATTAAATTAAAAAAATACTTCCATTATAATATGCTGACATCAAAGACAGAAAATGTGTATATATTTTTATAATAAAACTCAAGACTTCAAATACTTTGTATGCTTTTGCTGCTCTGCTCTGTATTATGGTAAGGTCCCTGAAATTCACTTTCCTCTGCTTCTATGAGTACTTTGTGGAAATGTGAAAAACACTCATGAAGAGGAATAGATACAATGTGTGCTCTTCAGGCACTCTTTCATAAGTATCATTTTTGCAGAAGTTGATTCAAAACATAATGTTCCAATGCAGCTTCCTTTTCCCAGTTAATGAGAAAACTATTTTTCATTCTACATAAAGTTCAGAGAAATTCTTTAGGATGAATTTAACCAACTTATGCTTCTTCACAAGAGCATGTAAGTCTTGTTACCCTCACTTTATTATGAGGTAGAGGCACATAAGTCAGGCTTCATAGTGTTTCTCTAAGTGGGTGTTTTATCAAGGGTGTTGAGACAGACACTTTATAATAAAATTTGTACTATAATAAAATTTAGAACATGGTTCAGATAAACATTTTTATGCTTATTACATTTAACCATCTTGAGAACATAGTAACAACCAATGACATTGAGTGATGTTGGATAAAATTTCCTGCCAGTGCATTATGAAAATTCCTTCTTTCATTCCCTCACTTTACCCAAAGTTCACTACAAAACATGTGAAACACACAGAAAGAAAACCAGATCATGATCTTAACCTCAAGTTTGTTAAGATTTATTATTTTCTTCTTTTCAACCTCCAATCCCATCTGCTGCATGTTTTTCTTGATGAACTTAAAGAGAAGTGTCAAAAATTCTCCTACTCCTATTTCCTAACTCCCAACTCTTGAAACCTCTCTTAATTATCCCTTGGCACATACACTCAATTCTCATGCCTGTTTATTTATATCCATACTCCATTCTAAATAATTTGAGCCAGCTATGTAGCTACTGTCTTTCAACATCAAGTTGACCCTTCTATTCCTCTTTGTGACACAGATCTGGGACTCTGAGAAAAAGACTTCTGCTTGTTGTTGCTTCCTATAAACTATTCTGGTTGGAGGCACTGCAGTCCTGCCAGGCTGAGGAGAGAGAAGGACTTACTCCATCCTGTTTTCCTTTTTCTTGATGCCACCTCAGCAATGTGGCTTCACCCTGGTGGTGGCAACTCATTCCAGAGGCATCAGCAGACTCTGGTTTGCAACACCTACACAACTAGCCCTTCATTCCCCTCAGGGATACCAACACCAGCTTAGTAGCTCTCCCTTCTCAAAGACTGGGAATCAACTCCACGGGACCCTACTATAAATGTCCAAGTTCCAATAAATCCAACCTATCTTCTTTGCTGAAGTCACTCCCTCCATGAAACTGTGTTTTCCCCTCTTTTTAGGTAGGCAATCCCTAACTAAAAATTGTTATTATGTGTCCTTGAGTTGGCTCTGACTATTGATGAGTAATGTCCACAGTGTCCTGTCCTCAACAGCCCTGCTCAGCTCCTGGAGACTCATGCATATGGATCCTTTTATGGAGAAAATCCATCTCTATATTTGGTCTTCCTCTTTTCCTATTGCCTTCTATTTTTCCCAGCATTATTGCCTTTTCCTTCTTATGATGTGCCTGAAGTAGAACAGTTTCAGTTGTTCATTTTTGT